TTCCCCCCCCCCCCCAAAACCTCCCCCGCCTCATCAGCAGAGCCTCATCAGCAGAGCCTCATCAGCAGAGCCTACATGCCTAAGGAGCTCGTTTTAGTGAATGTCATGTACAGACGTACCTGCTGCAATGACGGGGTCCTTCATAAGCTCCCGTGTTATGGGACACAAAAACTCGTCAGGGATGGGAACGGAGCTCGTTTTCATCCTCAGCTCTTTGATTTTCTGGAGGATTTTACTGCGCAGGCCCAGAGACTCTGGAAAGGTATTTGCAGGTGAAGTGGAACAGGGGTGTGCAAGGCACAGCGGGTCCGTCCTGCGTGAACCAGCAGTGGTGGTACCGCAGCCCCGGCACCCTCCCGCCACCCCCACCTGTGCTGAGGAACGCGCAGCCCCTGGGCACTGCGACAGCAGCGACAGCGGGCACTGGCAGCCAGCGCTGCACCCCTCGAGCCGGGCTGGGGGAGCAGCTGAGGAGCAGCGAGGCCCATGGGTCGAGGGAGGGGATCGTGCCCCTCTGCTCCCTTCTGGTGAGACCCCCCTGCAGCTGTGTCCAGCTCTGGGTTCCCCAACAACCCAGCATCCCTCCCTGTAATCCAAAATGATGTGTCTCCAAGCAGTCTCAGCCCCTGCCCACCCTCAGCCAACAAACTGAAGTCAGGATGCTCCTTAAGCAACACGTTCTGTTAGCCTGACAGGAAAAAGGAATATGCAGGCCTGGAACAACGTGCTCCCACCTTCTCTTCTGAACTGGAGATGTATTCCTTTTTTTTTATTATTTTTTAACTCAGCTGCATCACAGAATTGCAATGAACGTGACATTGTGTCTGTTAAAAATGAAAAATCCTGACCTCTGTTGAACATGCACAAGCTTTTCAGCCAGAACACAAAAAATGTCCACTTTTACTCAGTATCTTACCAAGTTTTATACAATATTATTTACATTGTGTGACAATTAGGTTGGGAAGAGGCTAGTTTCATTTGCATGGTAATGAAGCATTCTTGCAGAAAGCTGTCAAAAACAACTGAAGAAGCTGATGAGTCAGTTTTTGACTGCTTGGTTTTAGATCAAATGTCTTCAAAGGTGTGACAATACCTTTTTTATTAAATGCAAATCAGAGCTGAAGCAAAGACTAACAGGACAGGAAATAAGCAGCTAATAAAAAATAAGGGAAAAACCTCCTACCCTAACGCTCCGCAGGTAAAAATGGTCTAAGAACAACTCCCTTTGCAAAGGCTGTAAAACTCTCCAGAGTTCTTCAGCAAGATCCTATGGTACTAATAAATGTTGCACTTTTAGAGCAAAGGAAACAGGTTATCAAGGAGAGAAAGGACATGCTCATTCCTGTATTTGTACAGTGGTAAGATTTCTAAAACTTATTTAAACTGGAATTTGACTAATACTGAAAAGCACATAGTGTTTTCCCATTTTGTAACTGCTTGAGCCATGGCAGACAGAACAGTTCTGCAAGACAAATACATCAGGCTGCAGTTTCTATTCTGTGATAACTGCAGTTGCAGAATGATTTGTAGAAGCAGAATCACAAGTGTTTACCACTTCAGAACTGCTCTTAACGATTTTTTTGGCAACTTTGAGTAGCATATTTAATTCTTTTCTTTTAAAAATGCCTTTCATATAACCATTTAACTGGAACTCATTGCTTCACATTGCATATATGCTGCTTCAGATGCTTACATTTATTAAGATGGTAAGTGATTTCAGCTACAGCTTTTTAAAAAACTTCTTAGAGCTGCCTGATACCAGTGAAAATCTGACTCTATATCCTATAATCTTGGGTGCTAAAGCACCTACCGAAGAAACAGCATGGCAAAGGACCAAAGTCTCGAGAACAGAGACTCAGCAATGAGCATTTTACCTGATAAACAACATACTGCAGCTACTTCAGCTCATCTGTACAGTCCAACCACGCTGCATCCTTTTAGGCAAACAAAAGAGCCTCTCAAAATCCACGTCCCGCACCCTGTGCTCTGCCCAAAGCCACATCCCCCCGTGCCTGACAGCCTGCCCTCCCCAGGGCTCGCACAGCGCACACCTTGGACATTGTTCTCGCCTGGTGGAGTTGTAACAACATGGGCCACACATGCGTTCTCCGGCTCCTTCCCCTCCTCGAGAAGGCGAGACGCAGCAGGTCAGTTCTCATCCCTGGCCACACCACGCTCAGTTCTCACAAAGCCTCCTCGGCAGCAGTTGATCAGCCTCAGCTGGTGACTGCCGCAGCAGAGCGCCAGGCTACTCAAACGCTAAAGACAGCACGGGCAGAAACTGGTGAAGCCAAGAGTCTTTCACAGATGACAATTCCTGATGGACTCCCAGGATCTCTGTTCATTTCTAGAATTCAAGCTACTGCACAGAGATACTACGAGCTGATACAGCCCAAGAACACACACATATACAAGAAAAAAAAAAAGGAGCAATCTTCCTACAATGAAGAATACTAATTTCTAAAAATAAAACTGTGCTGCTTAAGAGGTTTCTTAACTCATTCAGCCTTTTGTTTTACTTGATCTCCCTTTGGCAAACACACCAGCACCTAATCTACACCTAAGGCTACCCAGCAAAACAAACAGGGAACTCATATTCAGGCAGTTCCAATGCAGTTCATCATCCTAGTTCTTATTTCAGAATCACCATTGTGAAATCATTACTAATAGGGCATTTCCTTGTGATTCCTTCTACAATGTAATCACAGCTTTGCAATCAAGTGAGAGGACAATGTGTGAGCCAGGACACCTGCTGAATCACAAAGTGTCTGCGCCAGGCAAGCTCTGCTTGATCCTCACCGAGCATCAACAGCAAATGCTTTTTCTCCAAAATAAGTAAAAACTAAAACACACCTTATACTTTTCTGTTATGGCAACAGCAGACTGAAGAATTTCACTGCTAAATTCAGGTGTTTGACCACGTGTTATAAACGTGCACTTTTGCAGACTGACAGGAGAAACTACAGACTATTTACCAAAGTCAGAGCCATTAAGTAGATGCAAAAGCAGAAAGTCCTTTTCCACAGCTTAAAGGTACACAATCTAAAAATGAAAATGGACACAAAAGCGGGTAAGCCCACTTAACAGGCACTTATGTCTCTAGGTATAAGCAAACACCCAAAAAATGAGCTTTGGGGATCATGTGACATTAAAGGGGTTTATCAGCTATGGTAATCCAGGGTAAAAAAGAAATCCACGTATGGAACCCCTAACTCATTTTCATTCCAACATTTCACACATACTCTAAAACCTATTCGGATTTCTATACTCTTACCAATTTTTAATTCATTAGCCAGACTCTCTTTAGTAAGGTTCAGTAGTTCCTTGCCATCGATGTTATTCCTTTTGAAAAGCCCAACAAAGTCTGCTAAGCCTTGTGCACCAAGCCAGACTGAAACATCATCCTCTGACCAGTCCTCAACAGCCACCTTAGACTCATTTTCTGCAGTATTTCCTTCGGAAAGAAAAGATAAAAGAGAGTTAAACAACCTCCCCCTGCGCCCCTCAAGAAACCAACAGTGGTAAAAAAAAAGACCAGTTCTAAGAACCACGGCAGTAACAACCGCTGGTTTTCAGGTGTTCTCAGAACCACACACTCCCCAGCATCTGATAAAATAAATACTTAATTCGGCACTACTTCAGTGGGCGACCAGAATTTGTCTTTTCGCAATCAATTTTCAAAGTTTAGAGGAATTTGATCTCTCGGATGCCTACACTTCTGTCAAATCTGAAATAAACTAACAGAAAGAAAAGCATCAGCAGACTCCGAAACCAAGTCTCACACCTCCTTAGAAAAGCAGACCCAGCACCAGACTTATTCTTGTGCTTTGAACAAAGGATCTGTGAACTTTTCTTCCACATGCTTTAGGTGCTGATATATTTTTTAACATTAGTTATCCTACTTTTTCACTCATAACAACCAGTAAGCTGTATTTCTTGTTGACAATTACACCTGCAATTCGCGTATTTTCTCTTTAACTTATTGCCAATGATACTTGTCCAAAAAGTCTATCAGCATTCTGGGAGTATTCATCTCTTAAATGCTGTCCAGAGAGTAAGAACTGACAAATATCAGAAAAAGATGTAGCAGATTAATAAAATTGAAATAATGCTACTATCTTTTTTAAAAAGAACAAACAGAGAATACCTCTGTATGACACTAATAAGATCAATTCAGAGAAAAGATAACTGATGTGCACGTAATCCCTAGGTAAGAAACTAACCACATGTGAGCAAAAGTGGATTTTTTTGCATCTTGAGGAGGTGTTCAACAAAACAGCGCTTTGAATTTAGGGGACAGGTTACAAACACTTCCCACGCTCACCTGCACACGGTTGCTTATAGTCGAGCCGCCATATGTTCACAGTTTTATCCATTGAACCTGTGGCAATTAAGGGACCATATGGTGCAAAAGCACAAGTTGTAACATACCTACAAATAAAAGCAAATGTGTGAAAGCTCACAAGAAACTGATTTAATTTCTTTTATTTATTAACAGACTAATCATACTGAGTTCTTACCTGGTATGCTGAGATAACTTATGAAGGATATTGCCAGTACTCTGTAAAAGAACATTCGCAATTTTAAATCTTACAGAATAAAAAGAGTGTTCATTCATTTGTACATTTTCTTTCGAAATAAAAAAGATGACAGAACTACCTTCAGCAAGGTCATACGACCTTGCCAAAGTTCACAAGCAGAGACAGAAGCACAATGTGAACTTCCTGCTTGCAGGTTCCTGTTCGATTCCCTGGAATGCCACTGTCCCTCAGGAACCAGCCAGCACACGGGTTTCGGCGTAACAGCGCCAGAAATACCAAGGGAATTAATTACATCCATATTGGCTGGTTGGTGGATAAAAACATTTCTTCTACAAATCTAAGATTAGGAATGATCAGAAGTGAAGAGGTAACTGAAATTCCAACAGACTTCACGCTACAATCCTTCACCGGGGCAGTAACTCCTCACGCTGTTGGTTTTCATTCTCTTATACTTCTTTACATTGACAAGGCACTGCAGAAGCAGTGCTGGTATTTCGAGACAACAGCACAGTGAACCACTTTGCTCTATGCTATACTTACAGTATCATATATTACGACACACTTGTCCACAGACCTTTAAAAAAAAAAGACACAGCACATCAACATTAAAATGATGCCGAGAGCAAAAAGGAAACTATTTTACATTAAGAGGAAACAGAAGCCCTTTTCCACAAACAAGAGCAAACACATTTCTTACCCACACTTACGAAAAGCTTAGAGACCTAAATCACCCCCAGCTGTGTCCACCTTGAAACAGCACTGACTCGCTGTACCTCCAGCACGATGTAAAACCAGCAGCTAAATACAATCCCTGCGCGCTCCCATCAGAATTGCTGGTGCAGAGAATTTGCAGGCAACCGGCCCCGACTCCCACCGCTCCATGCTGCCTGGGCCAGAGCTGCTCCAGGTCTTTGCCAGCAGTGCCTGCAGAGCAGGTGCAGAGAATCGGGCGGCCCAGGACTGCTCACAGCACGTCGGTTTATTTCTGAGACCTTCCCATTTGCGAGGCAAGCTAAAGGAAGCAGTGCGAGGCAACACAGAAAGGGCAGCGTTGCAATGCAGTCGGTACAGAAAATATTTCATGGAATACCAACTGCATAGTTATTCGCTGTGGCAGCAGTGTTCCCTGAAAAACTACAGTTATCTCAATCTCACGCTTTTTAGGTAGAAAAGCCTGATGTTGCCATACCCCGGGGGCGAAGAAATATTTCATTTCAGCCAGATCTATCAAAGACAAAAATCTCAAGCTACTGAACTTCCTAAAAAGTTCTGAAAGCGCACGAATGAGACAGAAATCCTAACTGGTGTCCCAAAGAGGTGGTAGGACTGCAATATAGATCTGTATTTTTAATAAATGGGAGAGTATTCACATGAAAGGCCACATAAATAAAGGCGCTACAAAGAGGAAATCATGAATGGCATTGCAATGCTGCAGAGAACAGAGCTTGCGCATCCCACATGTCAAACTCTTGTCACCCACAAGACAGACCAATTGGAAAGACGCTTCAATAGTTCTGGACGTCAGAGAACTATTCCTTAACTATTGGAAATATATTTTGAAGTCTCCAACTCTTTCTGTTTTACAATAAAAACTTTTACAATAAAACCTTTTTTCTGTTTTGCAATACTGAAGCGGGAACCTGGACAGCCATCTGCCTAAAATTTAAATAAGCAAAAGCTACTGCTTACCCCGAAACTAGCATCTGCCCATCATAAGAAAATGCACAAGCCAGAACTGGGGCAGAGTGTCCACTCAATGTGCATTTGTATTTTAATTCAACACCTAAAAATACAAAAAGGTAATTTGTATATACAGACATATTTGACAAGGTATAAGACAAGCTGCTTTTAGAAATGCAAAGCTGCACCAAAGATCTGACGCTGTGACACGCTGTCTACAAAAAAGGGGATAAAAGATCACACAGACAATTTTATCATCTCTGACTTCATCACTTGCTAGTCTTCACATGTCTAACAGTGGGTTAGATTATTAACTGAGTATCTGCACACACAAGAGATGTTAAAGACTTGTATGTGAAAGATTACAAAAAAACCAGCCAAACCCAAAGACGTTTTTGGCCATCTGCCTGGTCTCCACACAGCGGTCACACATTTACATTGCAGTTTTAGCAGGAGCCAACACTGTTTTCATTTCTCCAGCTCTTGCTCAAGGGCTGAGATGTGCTGAAGGATGGAAGGAAACCTCTCCCTGGCCTGGGAGATTAAGAGGTTTCAACCTGTCAGCCTACTCAGAGTAAAAATGTTACTGGTTATCAAAAGCTAAAAATGCTAACTAAACCCAAATGTTTATCTTAACACTATGTTTGAGGGAATTGGAGGGATTTTTTTTTTCAACTCTTTACAGTTATTAATAGTCACTAAATAAAATCTACAGGGCCCAAAGTCACAAAGTGCTGGAAGCCTTAGCCAATGTCCTACTAAGCAATTAAAAGAAAACTTTCAACCTGTGGTTAGCTTGGCTGTGAATCCATGGGAGCAGAAAAAGTTTGATCCTTGACATCAATTGCCATAAAGACGTAAGACACTGGAATATGAAAAAAAATTCGCTATACAAACCTAAGACATCTGCAAACAAAACATGCCAGAGTTTGATCTGATTATCTTGACCACAAGAAGCCATCTGGAAGTATACGAATCCACATTCACCATCTGATAAAATTCAAATATATTAATGGGAATCAGAAGCACTGAAACCATCTGCCTATCATCAGCATTCTTACACCAGAATTTGGTAAATGTCCTTAATCTCAGTACTACTTTTAAGAACTGTTAATAAAAATAACTGCAGAAGCTCTAAGACCATTTAGAAGTAGGAAATAGGTATCACCCGTACTGCTTCCCGAATAAGCAGATAAAGACCAGAGCTGGGCTCATATTTTAAGTTTTCTTGATGGCAAATGTTTGATTCCTCTCTCTACTGAGTGCAATACAGTCTTTTAACTTAAACCACACAGTTATATCCATTTCTACCGTTCGGTGGTTCTCAAACTTAACACCCCCCCTACACACACACGTACAAAATGTGAGAGCATCTGACACCTATTTTCATAATTTTAAATGTTCACCTTTTCATTTTTATAAACTAAGTGATGTTCCATGACTGCAGTCTAGCGAACCACTCGAGAAATACCACAGTAAAGAGGAAATACAGTAGCAACAGTTTGTAGCTCTCCCCTCTGTGTTCGACGGGTATGAACAACTCTGCTGAGCCCAGCTGAGCGCCCGCCTGCTCGCAGGAAGAGAAAGGCTGAGACTATGGATTTGGTCTCAATACCCAGATACGTTCAAGAACATCAGATTTCAGTCTTAGAAACAAACACAAAGTTCTTGCCCCTTACAGCTGTGAAGAAGCACATAATGACCAAAGCGAAACGCAACTCAGGAGTGCAGTCAGCTGAATCAGCTGTGAGACATCTGAGCAGCTCCACGTCAGAGTGGGACACCTGAGATTCTGGACTCATTGCTCCCCTAAATTCCTCCAACTGGGGAAGCCGGGTGCAGGCAAACAGCCTGTCTATTCACATCCCATGGCTCAAGCACTCAGCTTCCTGGGTTTTTATACTGCACTGCTTCTGCGCAGTCCTGCTCCCTGGGGAACCACAGTCCGAAAGGGTGAAGAGGAAGCAGAACTCAAGCACTACATCTTCCAACGTGCCTGTTAGCCCTGAGAAACAGGCTGCAATTACAGGCACTGCCAAACATTTTCCAAACTAGTGACAGGTTAATTAGGTGACTGAAAGCTATCACAAGCATGTTAATCACCTTGTTTGCTGACCTAGTACATTCCTTGTCATCACTGTGACCACAACCTTTACTTAAGAATATTCAGAATATTCTAAAACATCAGCTCTTCCCAACCTTGAGCACTGATGACAAAAAGAATAGGAAAACAAGAGAGAAACAAAGTAACTTTTTCCCCCTGTTCCTCCCATGACAAGTCAAGTAACTTACCAGAAACTGGCTGTGAAGAAATATCACAGCCGGTAACGCCAAGATCATGTGCTTTTTCATTATACAGGCATCTCATTTTATTGTCCCAAACAGTTAAATCACCAGACGAGGATCCAGTGACAAAGAAATTTCCATTAGGAGAAAATGCACAGGCCACCAAGGAACCATCTTTAACATTCCCAGATCTGAAAAGCAAGAGGATTTGAGTTTAGAATAAGTAATCTCTAAAATCCAATTTGATACAATAAACCAAATTTCCTAAGTTTTGCACTTTGGAACTAGGTAACAGAAGGGAGAGAAACTCAAGCCAACTGTGGAAAGAGACGCAAAATAACAGCTGCAGGAGCCAGAACCTACTCTTTGACTGCTGGAAAAAGAACGTGACACGGCGCACAGTAATTTTAACTGACTGGTAAAAAATTTCAAACTAAAGAAAGTCTGCATGGACTCACGACTGGAAAGGCACATTGCACTGTTAAAATGCTATGGCAGGATAAATTTTAACAGTCAAAGATCAATACAGAACTATCACAACCCATATTTACATGTACACAAAGAGGGGAAAAAAGACTCCTGCAATTTTTCTGGTCTCTTTTTAAAGATAAAACAGAATACCTACTGACCCATATGACAAGCTGTAGCTGAGGGGAATACTTTGTGATTTGATATAGGGATAATTTCGGCCTAGTACTTTAAAAAGACTGTGTTACAATGCAAGATAAGGGACACTCCAGTCTGGCTCCACTAAGGGATATTACGTGTCATGGTTTGCTGACCCAGTGTTTAGAAACCACATGCATACAGTGTGCAATGCATCTTGATTTCATGTTAAATCAACAAAAGCACTGCCATAAACTTAGGAAAAAATCAGGATTTGGATGAAAGATAACTTAGTATCTTAGTAAAAAAGACTCACCACTTCTCCCTCTCCCATTAATAAACTTTTGGTCTTCTAAATTCTATTCCTACTTCTTCATGATACCTACCCGTGGTGTAAGCGTGCAAGCCCCGCACGCAGCCCAGCACACTACTGAAATTACAGTCTTGCTATTGTAAACAAGGCTGCCAGCAAACCCCTGGCACTCACCTGTACAGTTTCAACGACTGCACGTTCCAAAGAACTACGCTCCCATCCGCTGCCCCCGACACGAGGTAGGTGGACTCGGGGGAAAAGCGGCAGACTCTGACGGGGCTGCTGCGGGGCTGCTCCAGCGCTGCCAGCGCCCGGCCATCGCGCGTGTCCCAAACCACGGTCGTACCATCTGTCGAACAGGAAGCTAAAGCGTGTCCTGACGGAGAGAAGCAGCAGCAGTGCACAGCGTACGTGTGACCCCTCAAAGGCGAGTACGGACACTCCGTGAAGTCATTTAAAGAATAAACGCGAATCGTTTTGTCCAAGGAACAAGTAGCCAAGCACGATGCCGAGAAGGCACAGCAGCTGACATCATCACTATGATCTGCTAAAGTGCGAATTAACGTCACCATTTTATCCGCTTCCAAGAAAAATATCTGGAAAGAAAGCGTAACAGTTAGACTTAACTCTCTTATTTCATAATGAAATGCAGTACCCTTACAGGACACGTTCTCCGGGAAAAAAATAAAAAATCCATTTGCAGAGGCAGATTTTTCATCAAAACACTGTTTTACGTCCCACTTAAATCAGACGTCAGTCACAATGACGAGGCGAGGGGCTTATGGCATGGTTAGAATTAAAATACCTAAACTTTTAATGTTGACTTGCGACACTGCAGTACACGACGGGCGGCCACTGGGCAGCTTTAGCAGCGCTAACGACATCTCACCTGCAGAAAGCAAATCAAGGTCCTGCACCTCTGAGCAGCTCAGCAGTCACACGGCGGCGGCCGCCGGGCAGCTGAGGCTGGAG